ACCTCCGGGTGTGACCCAAAAAGCAAAAAACAAAAACAAAAAACATAATGCCCCAAAGTAGAGAGTATTGGGGAAATTGTCTGCCATAGAAGCAGGGTGAGGACTGGGATAGGGGAGGGGTTCGGATACTGAGAACATTGGTGGTGGAAAATGTGCACTGGTGGAGGAATGGGTGTTCGATCATTGTATGGCTGAATCTCAAACATGAAAGCTTTGTAATTATCTCACGGTGATTTGGTTAATAAATCAAGTCCAGTCCTCGATCATTGAGAATTCACCACCAGGAATGATTCCTGAGCCAGGAGTAAGCCCTTAGCACCACCTGGTGTGATCCCCAAAACAAACTAAAATGAGAAGTCTGGAAATGCCAGCAACCCAAGGAAGCTGCCAGGGTCCTCTGCTGCCCGCCCCCCACCCTGCTGTAGAGATTTTTCAGGGGGTCTCAGGTCCAAGGGTTCAACTCGCACCTGCAGAGACTCAGCTCTCATGTGGCCCAGCATCACCCCTTGGGGATCTGTGTACACGCATGAGGGCCCAAGCCCAGTTTGGGGGTGAGCTCTCATCCCCAGTGCCCCCCACCCCCAAGCCCACAGTCTCCTTCTCCAAGAGCTGAGGCTCAAAAGGAGTGAAAGGGGAAGGAAGCTGGGTGGGCAGGAAGGACACCTGTCCCAAGGCAGATCCCCAGGGTCTGACAGGATCCACACTTGAGTGGTGTTCACAGTGCATGCAGTGTAGACCAGGGTTTCTCAACCTTCTCCTGACCCCCTTCCCGTGGACTCCCCCTGACCCCAACTACATCCTACACATTGGCCCCCATGATTTCCTGTTTGTGAGAGTTCCTGTTTCCTCTGTTACTCCCCGCATACGCCCCTGAGCCTGGCTGAGAAGTGCTGGTGTTGGGGCTTGAGAGAAAGAAGGTGGACCTGAGGCTTTGGTTTTCTCTGAACTGACATGTCTGCTGCTTGAAGTCACCTTTCCGCACCCTCCCTGTGTCTGGGGCCTTCCATCCAGTTTCAATGCAGACAACGGATGTACCTGTTATGCTCAGCAGTGAATAAACTTCAGCCCTGGGAGCCTGCTTGTCTTTTTGTTTGGACTCTGTTTGATTCATTCTTTATCTAAGAGCCTGGAAGCTTCTCCAGTCACTTCCTAGACATATAAGGCTCCAAAGCACTGAAGGCTAGAAATAGTTTCTCTCTTCCCCCAGGCCAGTGTAAACATGCCTCTGGGTAACAATTCATGCTGACAAATGCCCCCAGGGGCTGTGTTATCTCACCCTCCCCTCAGTCTTGGTAGAACAAACTGTTAATGTGAACAGTCCAGCTCACCCCCCACCCCCACCCCGAACCCTCCCAGAAGAGAGGCCCAAATCCTAAACCAGTTAAGAAATGGAATCCAGAGCCTGGAGCGATAGCACAGCAGGTAGGGCGTTTGACTTGCACGTAGCCAATCCGGGTTCGAGTCCCAGCATCCATATGGTTCCCCCAAGCACCACCAGGAGTGAATCCTGAGTGCATGAGCCAGGAGTAACCCCTAAGCATTGCCGGGTGTGACTCAAAAAGTCAAAAATAAATAAATAAATGAAAAGAATTAAAAGAAAAGAAAAGAAATGGAATCCAGGGCTGGAGCGATAGCACAGAGGGTAGAGCATTTGCCTTGCATGCAGCCAACCGGGGTTCAATTCCCAGCATTCCGTATGGTCCCCCAGCGTTGCCAGGAGTGATTTCTGAGTGCAGAGCCAGGAATAACCCCTGTGCATCCACTGGGTGTGACCCCAAAAAGCAAAAAACAAAAAATGAAAACAAAACAAAAAAGAAACGGAATTTATCCAAAACATTCCTGAAAAATAGGCAACCCTCTACAAAATAACCCATGAAGAGCGTCTTCCCCAAATTCTACATGTCAAGCAGGTTGTGGGGATTATTTGAGGAGTTTTGGGGTGCATTTGCCATAGGACTGCTTGGAGGGAGTTTTTTTGGTTGGTGGGGGTGCATGGCACAGCCAGTGGTGCTCAGGGCTTACACCTGGCTCTGCACTCAGGAGTCACTCCTGGCAGGGCTTGAGGATCATATGGGGTGCTCAGAATCAAAACCCGGGTCTGCTGCCGCCTGCAAAGCAAGCGCCCTCGCTTCTGTACTGTCACTCCAGCCCCCTGCTTTGGGGAGTTGAGATCTCAGGTCACAGTGTAGTGAGATCTGGGGTGGCCGACTAGGACTTAGCACAGACATAGCATTCGCTGCTCAGCCACTTGTTGACAACCCTCTGTGCTGGAGTTACAGCTCCTGAAGCACACGGACTGGGGCTTCCTACGTCGGGCTGTACATCATATGGGTATGGAAAACTTAAAAATGAAAACTTTGAATGTTGGTCTAATAATTTTGATTATAATAAAAAAAAAGGCCCTCCCGTTGATCATCGATTTGCTCGAGCGGGCCCAGTAACGTCTCCATTGGAGACTTTGTTGTTACTAGCACAGCGGGTAGGGCGTCTGCCTTGCACGCAGCCAACATGGCCAACCCGAGTTCGATTCCTCTGCCCCTCTCGGAGAGCCCGGCAAGCTACCGAGAGTATTCGATATGCCAGATATTGATTATAATAAAATAACAAAATGTATTATAATACATAATGTAATAATAAAACAATAAAATTTGATAATAAAACATTACCATCTCCCTGGCGCTTATCTAAATTCTCTTAATTTAGATAAGCGCCAGGGAGATGGTAATTTTTTATCCTTTCCAGGTAACTCTGATGCACAGCTAAGCCTAACTCAGCTCTAATCTGGCACTCTACAGCATTTTTTTGTGGGGTGGGGCCTCTGTCGTGGTGCTCAAGGGGCCATTCGGTAACTCCTGGGGGTTCTGACCCAGATGTTGAGGCCTAATGGTTCCACGCTCAGGCCCAGCCATGAGCCATGAGATAGAACTTGGGACCGAGCACTTGCAAGGCAAGTAGTCCAGCCTTGGAGCGAGCGCTTCTTTCCAGTGCAGCACCTCGCCAAATGGTGCTGTAGGTGCCTTGACCTCCCCCTGGGACGGAAGTTTCTCCCACCCATCCTTAGGCAGCTCTGCTGGTCAGGAAGTTCTTGTGCCTGGATCATCTCATTGCTATTTCTAGCTCCTGGGATCCCCATGAACCAAGTCTGCTTTGGCCATTTAAGGCTTCGGAAGGCAGTGCTCGTTTTTTAGCAGCATTTCGAGGGCCTGGCCTTCAGCCTTCCCCCCAGCAGGTCTCCCATCACCCCACCATGTTTCCCAGGGCGGTCAGCCCCAGGAGAAGCAAACATTCTCTCAGTCCGGGACTCGTCATCTAGAAGGAGGTTTGTTAATGACTGACTAAATTATCATTAAGTCCGTTAAGTTCGGAGACCCACCCCATGATCTGAAGGGCTCTGGGTGGAGGAGGATGGTGGTGGTGGTGAGGTTACAAGGGCAATTTAGAGGGGCACACAAGTGGACACCAGAGGTGATGCTTCTTTTTTCTTAATTTTTAATTTATTTTTGCTTTTTGGGTCACACCCGGCAGTACACAGGGCTTACTTCTGTCTCTGCACTCAGGAATTACTCCTGGCAGTGCTTGGGGGATGCCCTACCTCCTGTGCTAACTCTCCAGACCCCAGAGATGATGCTTCTAGTGCAGAACAAAGTGGCCATCAGGACTGTGCAGAACTAAAGCAGGAGCCAGAGCCTGGGGTGATGGAGCTGGGGGGTAGGGCTGCGTGCAGGGCTCCGGAGGATGCAGGGAGATGGGAAGTCTCTGCACAGGGCAGAGGGAGGGAGCACCCGCAAGGAAGCAGGTGCTGAGAGGTAGGCAGGAAGGGAGAAGCAGGTCTCTCAGTCAGCTGAAACTGAGATGGACAGCCGCAGACGACTTGTCCTCGTTGGAGGCCACCTCTGAAATGACATATCTGCAGCCATGATGCCAAGAACAGGGACCAGGTGGGGTCACTGGGGAGGGGACCAGGCACATGAAGGCAGAAAAATCTATTTCTGGCAGGACCCCTCTGGTCCACCCCCCCCCCCCCCATCATAGCAGGAAGGAAGAGAAGGGGAGTGGCTGGGTCTCCCTCCAGAACCCTAGGGACACAACTAGCTTCCTTTATGGCAACACAAAATGGGGAGCTGGGGGTAGAATGGTGGGGGGGGGGGTCCCTGCCTGTCTGTCGGGGAAGGAGTGCAGGCTGCAATCATAAAACAAAGCCTCAAAGAGGCACCAGCTGATTTTATTTTTATTAAAAAAATGTGGGGGGAGGGGAAGCACTGATATTACTGCTCTATCCTTGCAGAGCTTCCCTGCCTCTCCCCCAGTCGTCGGGATATGTGCCCCCATCCCCGCCCCTACCCAATAAAAAGAAAATTTGAAAAATGTACAGAAAAACTAATGCAGGTAAGATGAATAGCAAATTTGGAGCGAGAGGGTTAAAAACCATTTTAGTTTCTTTTCTTAATTTTTGGGCGGATTCGTTTAGGATATGGGACCACCCCCTGAGATGCTCATGGGTTACTCCTGGCTCTGCACTCAGGAATCACTCCTGGTGGTACTTAGGGAACCAAATAGGATAGAACCTGGGTCAGCGTCGTGCAAGGCAAGCCCCCTCTCCACCGTTCTATCTTTCCGGCCCCTTACATTATTATATATATATTTTTAAAAAGCTCGACATTGTGCATATATTTATTCTCTTTTTCCTCATCCAATTCCCCACTCCCAGACCCCCAAATCCAACCCCAAACCCAGCGGTCTTGAAGACACAGACAAAACCTTTCTTAACGAACAGGACAGAGCTGGGAAGGTGGGCAGAAGTGAGGGGTAGTGAGGGACCTAGAGAAGGTGGGGCAGTGGAGAGGATCCAGGCTCCCGTGGGCGCCCCGCGCCCTGCACGCCTCCCCGGAAGCCCGACCCTCGAGCGTCAGCGGGAGGAGCAGCGCCCGCAGGCGGCGCCCCATTGGCCGCCGGGCCCCCGGGGACGCGGGGCGGGGCGGGAGCCGAGAGTAACCCTGCGACCTGCGACCTGCCACCGCTGCCGCTGCCGAGCCCTTTCCGCTGCGGGTAAGTCTCCGCTGTGCTCCGTGCCCCGTCGGCGCCCGCTGCCCGCTGCCCGCTACGCAGTGCCCGCTGCGCACTGCCCGCTGCCCGCTGCGCGCTGCCCGGCCCGGCGCGCACACAGGGGCCCGCTCAACGCTTTGCTAGCCTGCTCCCTGCACCCAGTACCAGAGCAAGGGTGGGTGGGGGGACCCCTGAGGCGCCCCCCACCACCCAGACCTCCCCAGAGGCCACGCCTCCACGGTCACCTCGACCCCCAGTGCAACGTCCACCAGCCCGCTCTAGCCATGCGCCCCCAAACACAGCCGACCTCCTAAATTGGGCCTGGGGCTGGACCTGGCGGGTGCTGAAAGCAGAGGACTTCAGAAATGCCAGAAGACCCCCGGTAGATAGTTCCGAGGGGAGCTGGAGTACATGCCCCCCGGCTTGAGTGCCCCCCATCATCCATCCAGCGATGCCTCATCTCTTTGCAGGACCCAGCAGGGGGGCTGACTCAGCCTCTGCCTGAGCAGGACTTGGGAGCTGTTTCTCAATCTCTCAAACAAAACAACCTGTAGGGCTTGGGGTTGAGCTCTCTCACTTCCTCCCTGTGTGTCCTCCCTCAGCCCCTGAACCTGCTGGTCCCCACCCTTCTTCCAGCACAGGGGTCCTCACCTGCCCAGATCCCCACCCCCCTCCCCACCACCAGGAGAAGTTCTGCACTGTGTCCAGTGGTGGGTGTGGGCAGTAGAGACCCACCAGCTCAGACCCCGTGGTCCCTTGAGTGCGAACAGCATTGGCATGAAACATGTGCCAGGCATGGTTCCTGCCAACCCCCAGCCCTTCCACTCCCTTCCCATGTTTGTCACCTGCCCCCACCTTCTGGTTCCTCTCCCTCCTGTGAGCCCTTGGATGTGGCACCCAAAGCTGCTTCTGGCCCTCCCAGGGCAGAATCTCAAGCCACACAGGGCTTGGGCGCCCCCAGCGAGCTGCAGGCTCACCTCCCTCTCAGGGGGCCTTTCTTGCCCACCACCTATGCATTTGGGGTTCCACCCATCTGGTGAGTGTTCTGTAGCCCCCCTGCAGTGACCGAGGTGAAGGGCCTGGGGGGTGGGGGGGACGTAGAGGTAGGGCAGGTGCGGCTCCTTTTTGCTGTGGGGTGGGGTAGGGTTTAAGTGAGACTACAAAGTGCTCACCGCTGCCCCTTATCTGGGGACTTTGGATGCCTTTAAAATTTTATTGTCTGGAGCGATAGCACAGCAGGTAGGGCTCTTGCCTTGCACACGGCTGGCGTGGGTTCCATCTCCAGCATCTCATATGGTCCCCCAAACACCACCAGGAGTGACTGCTGAGTGCAGAGCCAGGAGTAACCCCTGAGCATTGCAGGGTGTGGCCCCAAAATAAGAAAATAAATAAAATAAAATTTTATAGTGGCCTCAGTAAAGAACACGTTGTTCCAGAGTGCCGGCCCACATCGGCAGAGCCTTACTCTCCCCTGCCACAGGCCTCTCGGTGGGGAGCTGGGCTGGTTTCTGGGGGTACCCTCCTTGCATCCATATCCTGGGGGTCAGACTTTCTCAAGGCACACCGATTCCCCGAGGGGCCTCTGACAGGAGAGGAAACCAAAGCACGAGGCGGAGTGAAGCAAGGCCTTCTCCCGGGCTCCAGTGCTGTCTGAGGCTTTGCTCTCCACTCTGTGCTCCTGGCAGGAGCAGCCTTTGTGGAAAAATGGGTGTTTGCTCCCTGACTTGACGATCCTCTGTGGAGCAGTGGCTTCAGTAGCGACTGCATTTGAGGCAGGAGGGACACAGCGGTGGGTGAAACAGATGAAGGAGATAGCCCTGCCCGTAGGGAGCACAGAAGCACGGTAGGACTTGGATGTGATAGGTGATAGGGACTTTGTAGGTGATAGGGAAAGAGCAAGCTCAAGCAGGAGGCCCAGCACTGGAGAGACTGGGCAGGGGTGGGCACTTGCCTCGCACATGTGGCGGAGTCTGGTTTAATGCCCGGCACCGCATATGGTTCCCCGAGTACCTCCAGGAATGATTCCTGAGCACAGAGCCAGAAGTAAGCCCTGGTATGGTCCCCAAAAAGAGGGGGCTGGTAAGAGCTGGGGTGGTAGTTTTATAGAAGGTTGTTGGGGAAGGTGATGTTTGACCAAGACCCCAGAGAGGAAAGAGAGGGATCTGGCGGGGGTCGGGGGGGGGGGGGCGCGCACGGGCCACTATGGAGCGGAACCAGAGAGTTTTCAGGGCTTTAGTGCCCCTCCCCATCCATGGTTTTAGAGGGGATATCCCTGCAGCAAGAATCTTGGGATGCGGCTGGAGCAATAGCACAGCAGGTAGGGCGTTTGCCTTGCACGCAGCCGACCCAGGTTCGATTCCCAGCATCCCCTATGGTCCCCTGAGCACCGCCAGGAGTAATTCCTGAGTGCAGAGCCAGGGGTAACCCCTGTGCATCACCGGGTGTGACCCAAAAAAGCAAAACAAAAACAAAAACCCCCAAAATAAAATAATCTTGGGATGTTTGCATTGGTGACCCCTGGGGTCATCTTGAGGACCCCTGTTGCTTGCTTACCGGGCTCTTCCTGCCCTTTCCAGATTGGTCATCATGCTGCGTTCCCTGCTGCCTCAGCTGCTCAGCCTGCGTGCCAGGACGGCCCCATACTCGTCGTCCGCAGCCCTGCCCAAGCCCATCCCAAACCCAGACATCCGCTACAACCAGCTCTTCATCAACAACGAGTGGCAAGATGCTGCCAGCAAGAAGACCTTCCCCACCATCAACCCGTCTACGGGAGAGGTGATCAGCCATGTGGCCGAAGGGGACCGGGCGGATGTGGACCGGGCGGTGAAAGCAGCCCGGGAGGCCTTCCGCCTGGGCTCTCCGTGGCGCCGGATGGACGCCTCAGAGCGGGGCCGGCTGCTCAACCGCCTGGCTGACCTGGTGGAGCGGGACCGGGTATACCTGGCCTCTCTGGAGACCCTGGACAACGGCAAGCCCTTCCAGGAGTCCTATGTCCTGGACCTGGACGAGGTCATCAAGGTGTACCGGTACTTCGCTGGCTGGGCTGACAAGTGGCACGGCAAGACCATCCCCATGGACGGCGAGCACTTCTGCTTCACTCGGCACGAGCCCGTGGGCGTCTGTGGCCAGATCATCCCCTGGAACTTCCCGCTGGTCATGCAGGGCTGGAAGCTCGCCCCGGCGCTGGCCACGGGCAACACGGTGGTGATGAAGGTGGCAGAGCAGACGCCCCTGTCTGCCCTCTACTTCGCCTCCCTCATCAAAGAGGCCGGCTTCCCCCCGGGGGTGGTCAACATCATCACTGGCTACGGCCCCACGGCTGGTGCGGCCATTGCCCAGCACATGGACGTAGACAAAGTGGCTTTCACCGGGTCCACGGAGGTGGGCCACCTGATCCAGAAGGCGGCAGGGGACTCCAACCTCAAGCGCGTCACGCTGGAGCTGGGCGGGAAGAGCCCCAGCATCGTGCTGGCCGACGCCGATATGGCCCACGCCGTGGAGCAGTGCCACGAGGCCCTGTTCTTCAACATGGGCCAGTGCTGCTGCGCCGGCTCCCGCACCTTCGTCCAGGAGTCCATCTACGACGAGTTCCTCGAGAGGACCGTGGAGAAGGCGAAGCAGAGGAAAGTGGGGAATCCCTTTGAGCTGGACACCCGCCAGGGTCCCCAGGTGGACAAGGAGCAGTTTGACCGCATCCTGGGCTACATCAAGCTGGGCCAGAAGGAGGGCGCGAAGCTTATGTGTGGCGGCGAGCGCTTTGGGGACCGCGGCTTCTTCATCAAGCCCACCGTCTTTGGGGGCGTGCAGGATGACATGCGGATCGCCAAGGAGGAGATCTTCGGGCCCGTGCAGCCCTTGTTCAAGTTCAAGAAGATCGAGGAGGTGATCGAGAGGGCCAACAACACCAGGTATGGCCTGGCGGCTGCTATATTCACCCAAGACCTGGACAAAGCCTTATACTTCACACAGGCACTGCAGGCCGGCACCGTGTGGGTGAACACCTACAACATCGTCACTGCACAAACGCCGTTCGGGGGCTTCAAGGAATCTGGCAGTGGGAGGGAGCTGGGGGAGGACGGGCTGAAGGCTTACACCGAGGTCAAGACCGTCACCATCAAGGTCCCCCAGAAGAACTCCTAAGAGCTGCCACCACGGACACCCAACTCTAGTCCAAGAGTTCCACAACCACCTGGACCAGCGGTCTGCCAAACACCATGGACCCCCAAAGAGCCATGAAGACCTTCCTGGAGGGAGCACCAAACGGCAAAGGCAATGGAATGCAAAGCAGAGCAGCTGTGTTTCCACTGGGGGTGTGCCTGGCTCCACTTACGTCCTGTCACCCCCACACCAGGCTCTCTGGCATCCTCGAGTTACTTCCATGAAACTTTAGGAGAAGCTAGAATGGCCATCAAGTCAATGCTTTGATCTGGACAGCGCCTTCCAGGCTTCCCTGCCAATCTGTGGACTTCTGGTCCACACATCACTGAGTGTTTAGTTGACACTTGGACTCAACTTAGTGAATGGAGGTGGGACTGGAAGGTGTGAGGGGCTTTGATGGATGCCAGACTGTGCCCCACTCCTCATGGGTTTACCCTAGACAAACAAAGGCACACTCCCTTTTAAAACAGCCCATTGCTGGCTGTTCTGCTTGCCTGCTCTTTGTTTTGCTACTGATTTTCCTACTCCAAGGGCAGATAGGACCATTCCTTCAAAACAAGCCACAGCAATCCAGATGTTGAGCCGAGGCACAGAAAGTGTTCATGCAGTCTCCCTTGGACTGTCCAGCTGTGGACTGAATTGTCCACACGTGTAGTGGCATGGAGGAAGTGTGGAGCCACTCTGAGGTATCGGGGCTGCCCCACATCAACACGGTCAAGACAGATGAGTCCATGGACGGGAAGCACTAGAACAGGCAGACCCAGTGCACCCAGCAGGTTTGTTTGTGGTTGTCAAGGACTGGAGTCACAGCTAGTGGCTGTGGGATTTGGGGGTTGAGGGGGGAGGATGGGGAGGGTTTAAATATTTCAGAATTGAATAGTGGTGATTCTTGTCAACTTGGCCTGTGTGCTATGATTTACGCAAGTGAATCACACACTTTGAAGGGATGCAATTTAGAATACCGAGCTAATTTCAATAAAAAAAAATTAGATAAACTTCCAGTGTTTTTGCAAATCAATTCTGTCTCATTGTTTTCTTGCTGTTGAACATTTTATCGACTTTCAGGCATGGAAGGCGCCCGGCTAGTAGTCTGGTCAGCCTCCAATCAGGGCCAAAATTCCTCCCTTCCCCAATCCCAAATTTTTAGTTTTGTTGTTTTCTCTTGACTGGGTAACAAAGTGCAGCTTTGTAGAATTTTTATTTATTTATGATTCATCTGTTTTGAGGGGGCCACACTGAGCGGTGCTCAGGGCTTACGCTTGACTCTGCAATCAGGGAACAGTCCTGGTGGGTGCTCAGGGAACCATATGGGGTGCTGGGGATTGAACCCAGGTTGGCCATATGCAAGGCAGGTGCTTATCCAAAGTGCAGCTTTAACACCCTCAGAGAGCAGCTCAGGGGTGTTCATGGAGCAAGCCCATTTCCAGGCTCTTGCTAAGGCTGGGTTGCAGCACTGCCCCCCTGCACTCACCCCTCCTGCCTCGCCCCATGTCAGAGCCAACCTGACATGCTCGGGTCTCCCAACCTGAGAGGGCATGTTTATTCTTTGTCTCGCAGCTCTGATCTGCACGAAGGCGCGTGACGCCAGCCAGGCAGAGCATAGGAAGAGCCGCCCTCCCCCTGCCCCGTGCACTTCACCCTGTGAGCTCCCAGCCTGCCCCTCACTCCACAATCTCCGCACCCATCCAGCCATCCAACTAAGTCCAAGATCTTTGCGGGCAGCCCGCCTGAAGATGCTTCCTGAGGACCTCTGGAATCCGTTTGCTCTATCCTGCCCACCTTCCTAGATCTTTTATACTTTCTTTTTTTAAATCTAAGACAGGGGTGACTGTGGTGCCCAACACACACACATCTTTGATCTGTTTCTCTTGGAGACAGTGACCACTGGGCCCATGCATGTCTCACAGATAGAAACTCAGTGGGGGACTGCATCTTTGTTGAATGCAGGTAGTCATCGATGCCCTGCAGACATCTTCTGCAGCTGCAGGGGGCTCCCTTTGGTCAGATGAGGAAGTGAAACCGGAAGCTGAGAGTTTAAGTATTGGCTTATTTAGACTCTGTTTCCCAGATGCATACATAAAGAGGCCTGAGGGTGGAGGAGGGCTGACGTGTTAAGTTCCACCATCCAAACTTGGAATGTCAGGGGTGCAGGCTGAGATGCGCAGGCAGAAGGTCCCCAACTCCTTGGCTGGATGCATCAGGGCAGCCGCTGGGTCACAAGAGCTTCTCTCTTTTTAAATTTTTATGTCATGCATAACACAATCTAACACCACCTCCCCTTCACAGTGTCCATTGCCCTGGAGTGTCCATTACACACACACACACACACACACACACACACACACACACACCCCTTGATCAGATTTCTGATGCCAAGACAGGAAGAATTTGACTGTGCCCAGTGAACTGGTGGACACACACACTAGTTATGCTGGAGTCGTCAGTAGGATCGCTGGGGTCACATGGTCCCCTGAGCACCACCAGGAATGACCCCTGAGCACTACTAGCTTGGCCCAGAAGGCCAAATAATAATAATAACAATAATAATAATAATAATAATAATCACTGTCACTGTCCTCCCGTTGTTCATCGATTTCCTCGAGCGGGCCCAGTAATGTCTCCATTGTGAAACTTTGTTGTTACTGTGTTTGGCATATCAAATACATCACAGAGCTTGCCAGGCTTTGTCATGCGGGCGAGATACTCTGGGTAGCTTTCCGGGCTCTCTGAGAGGGGCGAAGGAATCGAACTCGGGTTGACCATGTTGGCTGCGTGCAAGGCAAACACCCTACCTGCTGTGCTATCGCTCCAGCCCAATAATAATAATAATAATAATAATAATAATAATAATAATAACGATGATGAATAAAAATATGACCCTGGGTTGGCTCTATTCTGGGTGTGAGGCTGACCTCTGGTGGCCATTGTCTTGCTCAGATCATTGCTTTTTTAAAAAAGGCTCCTGGGCATTTTGGTGGTGGCGTTCAGTAGTAACTTTGCAGCAACTTTGTGCACCATTATGATAAACGTTAACACCACAGCAGCAGCGTTGCCTAAACCATAATAATTTAGAAGGCTCAGGCCCTGACAAGGTAAGATCTGGGGAAGGAGACTTGAGAAAGGCAGAAACCTCTCACGGGCTGCCAGGGAGAGCTCACACGCAGGGGGCATGGCGGGTGGGGGGAAGCAGAGGGGGTCAAGGATGCTTGTCTTGGCTGTGCAGTGCCCTGGGTTCAAGCTCTGGCTCTGCATGTCCACAAGCACCAGAGGGGTAGCCCATGAAGGACTATACCACTGAAGGATCGAGCCGTCTGGCCTGGCCAGTCAGGCGGGCATGCAGGACACTGCTAGCTTCTTCCAGACACCTGTGTTTGATCTTCTTATGCGCCATTTGCTCCCTGCCTGGCCGGCTCCTGCCCCCACCCGGAGCTCAGGTCCAGCTCTGGGGGACGCTCCCTGTCAGAGCCACGGCTCTGGCGCTGGGGGTAGTGAGCAGTAGAAGACACGCAGTTCAGAGCCCCCAGGACTGCCGTTGGAGGCAGACCCCAGAGCCTCTGGATGGGCCCCTGGGGAGACTGACCCGTAGGCCAGGGAACAGATGGACGCTCGCACCCTCGGCTCCGCGTCCGGCTGCAGACGCCAGGACACTGTCATTCCCCGAATTCATGCAAAGATGACTCAATAATCACCTTCTGTAAGGCTGGCAATGAGACCTCACTCCAGGAGACTCTTCAGGGCCCACTGCTTTTGCTTTGCTCCTGCATTTTTCCTGCACCCCCATTCCCCAGGAGAGCCCCAGGTGGGCACTGCTTTTCTTTTTTTTTCTTTGCTTTTTGGGTCACACCTGGTGATGCTCAGGGATTACTCCTGGCTCTGCACTCAGGAATCACTCCTGGCGGTGCTCTGGGGACCATCTGGGATGCTGGGACTCGAACCCGGATCAGTGGCGTGCAAGGCAAACGCTCTACCTGCAATGCTATCCCTTCAGCCCCTCTTTCTTTCTTTTAAAAGAATTAACATATGCTTCATTTCACTGTGGAACCAGAAAGGGGGAAAATGGCCTTTTGACTAAAAACCAGGCTCTGATTTTTCAGGGAGGGGCATGCCTGGCAGTGCTCAGGGGTCCATGCGGTGCCAGGGATCAACAGAGATCAAAGCCAGGCCTCCTGCAGGCCAGACCTGGGTTCCAGCCCACGGAGCCTCTCGCTGGCCCCCACAACCAGATCTTCTGGGGTGGAGAGAGGAGACACCTGGAACTTGTGGGGAAACTGAGGACTGGCCCTTGTAACCCCTCGTCTTTCATGATGGGAAACCAAGGTGGTTCCTGGGATTGTCTGTTCTTGAGCCCATGAAGGCTGCTATGCTCACTCTCTTGTGCTAGCTCTGCTGTGCTCACTCTCCTGTGTTCACTGTGCTGTGCTCGCTCTGTAGTGCTCACTCTACAGTGGTCCACTGTGCTAGCCCTACTGTGCTTGCTGTGCTAGCTCTGCTGTGCTCACTGTGCTGTGCTTACTCTGCAGTGCTCACTCTACAGTGCTCACTCTTCTGTGCTCGTTGTGCTGTGGTCACTCTCCTGTGCACGTCTGTAGTGCTCACTCTGCTGTGCTCACTCTCCTGTGCTCGCTCTGCTGTGCTCGCTCTGCAGTGCTCACTCTGCTGTGCTCACTCTGCTTTGCTCGCCCTGCTGTGCTCTCTCACCTGCTGGCTTTGATTCCTCCCAACAGCCATAGAGACTCTCCCAGCAGCTCTGAGATAAACCCTTGCCTCATGCGTGTCTGGGCTGAGGGGTTCCCACATTGCTCAGAAGTCCAGAGACACTCCTGGTGACAGCGGGTCAGGCAGGCTGGGCAGCCCCATGCTCAGCCTGAGGGCCAGGAGCCACTTGGGTCCCGCAGTACCGGGGACCATCAAGGCCATCCAGGTAGTGACCAGGGGCCTCGAGGGACACCGCGGTGGTGGTGCTGGGCTTTGTTTGGTTTTAAGTTTCCAAAACTGCGGTTCTGTGATTGGCCATACTCAGTCTAGCACCACATCCACCCCCAGTGTACCCCTCCCTTCCAAACCCTTCCAAACCTCCCCCATCCTTCGACCTTTGTTG